AGTAGATTATCTACACTAGTCTCAAGATTCCCAATGGTGACCACACACGAACGATAAATGCGGTCTACAACGATAGAATCTTCCACAGGTGTGGACACATGCACAGGAGCACTCAAAGAATCACGAGGCACAACCAAATATAAATCAAAATAGGATGATTCATAGGAGTAAGTAGAACCCGGATCAAATAGAACTGAAACATCTCTACTGTAAACTGAATGAGTACTTGTGATAACAGCGTCAGATAACTCAGCCTCAGGCCTGGCTAGAAAAGCATAGCATCGGGGCTGGGCCCCACCACTCTTAACTACATCTCTAGGACGGGCCCTAGCTAGCTGGCCTCCACCTCTAGTGGCCTGACCTCCACCTCTAATGGTCGGACCACCGCCTATGGATGCCTGACCCCTACCTCTAACTGGCTGAGCGGGCGGTGAAGCACCCGGTGCCGGGACCATGGCACGAGAACCCTGATGTTGAGAACTGCTCGATGCCCGCGGGAAAAATCTAGCAATGTGCCTCGGATCACCACAAGTATAACAGGACCTCGGCTGTTATGACTGCTAACCATGAAACTAACCCAGTCGACCTGAGTAACCACCTTGAAAACTCTTGAGCGGAGGTGTACTAATAGGAGCTGGTGGTGCAATGTAGGCTAGCTGGTCGGAATAAGGCATATGAGGGCCATGTCTACCTGAAGCACCGTGGGATGCCTGGAGTGCTGAATGAAACTGCCTAGGAGGATGGACTCTACCAAAATTACCCATGCCTCCAGAAGAGGCACCACTGAACACACCAAATTGACGAGGCCTCTTATCAGACCCCTGTTATCGCTCCTGTGCAAGAACCATCTCAATCCTCCTCACAACATTAGCATCCGCCTAAATGGAAATCTCACTTTCTGTCTCATTGGCCATCTGTAGCCTAATAGGGTGAGTGAGTCCCTCAATAAACCTCCTCACCCTCTTTCTCTCGGTAGGACGCAGAAGAATAGCATGACAGTCCAGATCTACAAAACGGGTCTCATACTGAGTGATGGACATACTGCCCTACTGGAGACGCTCGAACTGCCTGCGAAAATCCTCTCTCAGTGTGAGAGAAAGGAACTTCTCAAGAAATATCTAAGAGAACTGGTCCCAAGTAAGAGAAGGCGACCCTGCTGGTCTAGTCAATACAAAATCCTTCCACCATCTCTTGGTGGAACTCGTCATCTGAACCACAGCAAAATCGACCCCATTGGTCTCAACTATCCCCATGTTCCGCAAAACCTCATGGCAGCAGTCAAGATAATCATGTGGTTCCTCAAAAGGTGCACCACTGAAGTGAACTAGGAAGTGCTTGGTGAACTTTTCCAATCTCAATAAGCCCTCAGAAGACATAGCTGGTCCATCACCGTCCTGTGCCGCAACAACCGGCTAAACTACTCCGACTGGCTGAGTAGCTAGAGTCTGATACTGGGGAGTCATCTGCTCCTAAGCGGGAGTAGTGGGAGTTTGTGCTCCCCCAGCCTGAGAGATGGCTGGTGCCATGGGAAATGTACCGGCCTAGGCCACACTCTCCATAAGGCCCACCAAACGGACCAAAGCGTCTTGAAGTACTGGGGTGGCGATGAACCCCTCCGGGACCTGAGCTGGTCCGACAGGAACAGTCTGGAACCTCCTCGTCAAACTCTACTTGAGGCTCCACTATTAGTACTACTGCTCGAGCTATGGGCTGAGCTCTACCCCTGCCTCGACCTCGGCCTCTGCCCCTCGTAGGAGCTGCCACTGGGGGATCTAGCTGCTGCTCAGCTGAAGATGCAGTACGTGTTCTCACCATCTGCGAGAGAATAAGAGTAGAAGAGTTTAATTAGCAATGAGAGAACAAAATTGCATGACAAAGAAGAATATAAGTAAAAAAAATTCCTAAACTTCATAGTCTCTGGAAGATAAGTACAGACGTCTCCGTACCAATCCTCCAGACTCTACTAAGCCTGCTCGTGAATTGTGAGACCTAGACAACCTAGTGCTCTGATACCAACTTGTCACGACCCGAAATTCCCACCTTTGGAACCGTGATGGCGCCTAACATTTCATTTGCTAGGCAAGCCAGTGTTAGAGGATTCTTTAAACCAATTTTAGTCAATTTCAATAACATAATCAATTAAACTAAATAGAAGCTAAAACTGAAACGCGAAATAACATAAAGCCCATAATATCTGATACAACTCGGATCTGGAGTCACAACTCACGAGCTTCTAAGAGTATCTACAAACAGAGTATGATAGAAATACAATTGTTCAGAATGAAAAGAAACAGTAAAATAGGGGAGATAGAAGGGGACTCCAAGGTCTGTGAACGCCAACAGATCTACCTTGAGTCTCCAATAAGCAAGTCCAAGCTGTTAAGCCTCACGATCAGCTAGGATCGGTACCAAAATCTGCACAGAAAGTGCAGAGTATAGTATGAGTACAACCGACCCCATGTACTCGTAAGGGTCGAGCCTAACCTCGATGAAGTAGTGACGAGGCTATGACAAGAGACCCACACAATAAACCTGTGCAGATAACAGCATATGTATAAGAAAACAACAATAACAGCTAAACATGTACTAATGGGGGGGGACATGCTAAAGGGGCACAAAATATAAGAGATACAATGGAAATGATAACCAGAACAGTCAACATGCTTTTAACTAGTGAAAATGACTAAACACAATGAAGAAAATTGCATGGCATCACCCTTCATGCTTTTACTCTCAACCTCACAATGAAAATTAATAGATACGGCACAGCAACACCCTTCATGGATTAACACTCACAATATGGCACGGCATCATCTTTCGTGCATTAACACTCACAATATGGCACGGCATCACCCTTTGTGCATTAACACTCACAATATGGAACGGCATCACCCTTCGTGCATTAACACTCACAATATGGCACAACATCACCCTTCGTGCATTAACACCTACAATATGGCACGACATCACCCTTCGTGCATTAACACTCTCCCTTACCACATATCAATGAACAAGTAATAGTAGGGAGATAAAATTAACAAGAACAAGCCTTACTTCAACAATGGTTCCATAATACAAATCTCAACATTGGAATCAATACTCAATTATCACAAAAGCCCGTAAACATGATAAGAACGATCAATTTAGTAAGTAACTATTCTAAGCATGGATAACAAGATCAAAGTAAGCAATAAACTACAAGGAACAAGTCCCACCCGCATGCTTTAACCCGACAACAACGCATAAGTACTCATCACCTCACATATACATTGTACCCAACATCTAAAAATGTAGAAAATAGACAAACAATTCCTAATCCCTCAAGTCAGGATTAACCACAACACTTACCTCGCTCCAAAGTTCTACTCAAAGCTCAATCACAGCTTTGCCTTTCAAACAAGCCTCTGAACTAATAGAATCTAGCAAATTACCAACCAAACGATTCAAATTAAGCCTTAGGAACTATCCACAATTGGAAAGGATTCAATTTAGGTCAATATTGAATGCGTCAACAAAAGTCAACCCCCGGGCCCGCTTGGTCCAATCCCGAAATTCAGACCAAAACCCGATAACACATTCACCCCCGAGCCCGATTATGTAATTTATTTTGGAATCCAATCTTAATTTGAGGTCTAAATCCCCATTTTATAAAAATCCCTAATTCTACCCAAACCCCCATATTCCACCATGAAAACACTAGATTCTAGGTTAAAAACTTATGCAATGTGATGAAAGATTGAAGAAAAATAGGTTAGAATCACTTACCAATGGATTGGGGAAGAAAAGTTCTTTGAAAAATGGCCTCTAGGGTTTTCTTGTTTTGAAAATTTGAAGAATGAACAAAAATCCCATCTAACTCCCATTTTGATCAGTTGCAAATGTCGCATTTACGACCTGGGGTTCGCAAATGCGAGCCCCACAAATGCGAAGAAACAATCGCAAATGCGAAGTCCCTTACATTCCTACTGTCATCGCATTTGCAATGATTTGTTCGCAAATGCGAACTTTGAACTTCCGTAAATGCGACCGTTTGATCGCAACTGGGATCACTATACCCCCCTCTCCCCCCCCCCCCCCCGACCCACTTTGCAAATGCGAACTTGAGGTGCTCCAGCTACTCTTCTCAAATGTGATGATTGCTCGCAAATGCGAACCCATCAGAAGTCGCAAATGCGAAGCCCGACCTTGCAAATGCGAGATCAAAGGCCTGCACCAGAACTGAAACACACCAGCAATATTTCTAAATCCAATTTCACTCTGTAGCCTATCCGAAACTCACCCGAGCCCTCGGAGCTCTAAACCAATTGTGGACACAAGTCTAAAAATATCATAATAACTTGCTCGCGCGATCAAATCTCCAAAATAACACCTAGAACTATGAGTTTTAGCATCAAATCAAAGATAATTTTCAAGAAAACTCATGAGCTTCTAATTTCACAACCGGACGTCTGAATCACGTCAAACCAACTCCATTTCTCACCAAATTTGACAGACAAGTCATAAAGATAGTATTGGACCTATACCAGGTTCCGAAACCAAAATACGAACCTGGTATCTAAAAAGTCAAACATTGGTCAAATATTTCAAAGTCATTAAGCCTTTAACTTTCAAATTTTAACAAAGTGCGATAACTCGGGCTAGGGACTTCTGAATTCTATTCTGGTCATACGCCCAAGTCTCAAATCACGATACGGACACACCAAGACCGTCAAAACACAAATCCGGGTTTGTTTTTGCAAAACGTTGACCTAAGTCAATTCAAATGGATTTTTAAGGCACAAATTTCATATTTTCTTAGTTTTTAAAATCGAGAAAGGCTAAAATGAGGTATTTAAGGGTTCAAAGCATAGAATTAGGTTCTAAAATATAAGATGACCTATCGGGTCATCACACATTGACAAAAGTAGGCAACAAATTTCTCTTAAAGTGGAACATGATGGTAGTGTCTTCTGGATCACTGTTGTTTATGCTAGAACTAAATCTACTAAAAGGAAAGGTTTATGGAAAAACTGAGAGACATCAGCAGCATTATCAATGGTCCATGGACCATTCTTATTGACTTCAACTCCATCATGACAGATGATGAGGGGTGGTATTCCACATGTAATTAGCAAAAGCACAGATTTCATGAACTGTATGGATGACTGTGGCATGTCTGATCTTGGATTCACAGGATATCCCTTTACCTGGTGCAATGGCTGGAAGAGAAGGAAAGGATAAGCAAAAGATTAGATAGAGTAATGATAAATCAGGAATGGGCAGAGGCTAAAAAAACTAACAGGGTCGATCACCACGGTAGATCTGGCTCTGATCACTCCCTTATCATCTTCAAATTTAGGAATCCTAATCATAGTGCCATCAGATACTTCAGATTCCTAAACTTCTGGACTAAGCAGGGTGACTATCTAAATCTGGTTGAAAATATTTGGAACACTGATATCCAAGAAAATGGCCAATGGGTACTACAGCAGAAACTAAAAGTTGTGGCTAAAGGTCTAAGTGCTTGGTCAAGAGATACTATAGGTGATATTTTTGCCTCAGTCAAACAAAAAGATGAGAAAGTTGGCCTTCTGGAATAGATCTACGAAGATAACAACACTGACTCCAACAGACAAAGTATACACAAAGCTCAAGCTAAGTACACTAGATGGCTCAAAATGCAAGACTCTATTTTAAAACAAAAGGCAAGAATCAGATGGGTTGATGAAGGAGATACTAATTCAAAGTATTTCTACAGTGTGATCAAGACCAAAAAAGGAGGTCACACATACATAGAATCAAAAACAACCAAGGCTCATGGATAATAGGCAATGAGGCAATTGCAGATGCAACCATTAAGCACTTCAGTGATTTATTCACCCAAAATGGAAATGGCAACAATATGTCTATTCTTGAGTGTGTGGACCCACTAGTAACTGATGAAGATAATGAACTTCTCAGCAAGATCCCTGGGGAGGAGGAAATCAAATAAGCAGTCTTCTCAATAGACCCAAACAACTATGCAGGACCAGATGGCTTCAATGGACATTTCTACCAGGCAACCTGGGACATAATTAAAAAGGAGGTATGCAAGTTTGTTCCAAATTTCTTCAATGTCTACAACCTCTCCAAGTATTTCATTCACACCAACCTTGTGCTAATCCCCAAGGTAACTGCTCCTAACACTCTATCCCAACTTAGACCTATTAGTTTTGCAATATGTCAAATAAGATTATTTCTAATAGACTGTCAAGTGTTCTCCCCAAGATCATATCTGATAATCAGTTAGGTTTTGTTAAGGGTAGACTGATCACAGAAAATATACTACTGGAACAAAACATTGTGCATGGAATCAACAAAAAGACAAAGGATGGCAACATTGTCATTAAACTGGACATGTCCAAAACATATGACAAAATCTCCTGGAAGTTTCTCACTACTACTCTTAGGAAACTCAACTTCTCAAAGGCAGTGATTGACATCATATTCAGGTTAATATCAGACAACTAGTACTACATCCTTATCAATGGCACCAATTTGGTTTCTTCAAATCATCCAGAGGATTAAAACAGGGAGACCCTCTTTCACCTGCTCTATTTATCTTAGCTGCTGAAACTCTTTCTAGGGCCTTGAAAAAACTTAATCAGCATGCCCAATTCATTGGCTTCTCAATGAGTCTTAAAGGCCCTAGAATCAATCATTTAAGTTATGTTGATGATCTAATACTTTTCTTCTCTGCTGAAAGGAAATCAACTAAACTAATCCTGAATGTGCTAAATGAAAACCAAAAAGCATCAGGACAGGAAATCAACAAAGACAAAAGCTTCTTCTTGACACAAAACTTCAAGAACAGGAGAATGGATAGAAGACTAAGGAAATGGACACGCATGAAGCAAGCCCAGTTCCCCTTCACCTACCTTGGCTGCCCAATTTACACTGGCATGAAGAAGATTTGTCATTTCTCAGACTTAGCTTCCAGGGTGCTTGCAAAGACTGGAGGATGGCAAGGCAAAATATTGTCCTTTGGAGGAAGAGAAACCATCATAAAGCATGTTCTCCAATCACATACCTTCCACCTGATGGCTGTAATGGCTCCGCTGTAACACCCCAAAATATTTCGAAGTATTTAAGTGTAAAGCCCCGTAAAAATTTCGCAAATAAATTCAAGACTCGCCGCGGCTCGGACCTTTTGGGTTGAACAATGCACTAGAAAGTGAAGGAAATATTTGGACAGAAAAATGTATTTCTGTGGCCCAAAACTATGCGGCCGCAGAATTACTCTACGGACCGCATAATGGTCGCAGAATGAAGCAGGGGCGAGGTAGTTTGGGCGAAAGTCTGTGGTACATTATGCGACCGCAGACCAGTTCTGCGGTGCATTATGCGATCGCAGAACAGGTCTGCGGGCCGCATAACTACCGCAGGCCCAGGCAAAATTTTCCCAATTTTTGGCATCAAATTGTGCGGCCGATATGCGGACCGCATATCCTATTCCGGAGCTTTATTTTTGGGTTTTTATAACCCGATCCTACTTCGTTAAATACACGCAATGGGCTATTTTTGAGCAAATATCTAATGTTTTAGAGAGAAGTGGGAGTGTTTTAGAGAGAGAGGAAACTGTAGGCTAATTATTCATCAAGTCTTGCTCAAATCTTGAAAGATTGACAAGGAAAACCCATAAGGTCTTTATCCTAAAGGTAAGATTCTACACCCTAACCCTCAATTTTAAATTTTGTCTAAAATTGGGTAATTAGTAAGATAATATTTGGTCATGGGAGTTGTCCATCTTGCATACATGTGTTATCAAAGGATGTAAGAAGATTGTTGAGCTAAAATGGTAAATAATGGGTTGTGGGATGATGGAATCCTCCATAAAAGGACCTTGAAATCTTGATGCACACCTAGTGTATGATAAAATGCTTAAATGAGTTGAAACCATGAAAACCTTCCTAATTTGTGTTCAATTTTGTTATGTCTCAATATTGATTGGGATTGTTAGAATTTCCGAAACGTTATAGTAATTTAAGGGAAGCTCAAAGCGAGGTATGTTGGCTAAACTTTCTCTCTTAGAATTGAATTCTATGATGTTCCCATAAGTTCCAAGTATGGTTGTCTCAAATTCCTTTTTCTATGTTCCGAGTTGTTCCCAATAAATTCGATTGTCCCAAATAAGCAAAGTGATGAGAATTGTGTAATCAAAACTTGTTCCGAATGTTCCTATCACATTATATTATCCTTTGGGAATGTGTTAAAGAATTATATGTGCATTAAAATGCTATGTCTTTGAGTCGTGTTCTAAATGAAGGTTATGATGCCAAATTATGTGAGAAAACCTCTATGTGCCTAAGACTCTTAATTGCTCACATGTGTACTAAAAATATTGATTTATAATGCTTTGTTGTTGTTGATGATGATGATGTTTGAAAGTGAAAAGGGTGAGTATGGAATACTAAATGTGGCCATCGTACCCAGAATGAGAATTACATATGTGGCCAATAGTGCCAATGAAATGAAAGAATGTGCGAACATTATGAGATGAGTTTTAGCTCCTTTACATAATAAGGCCATTAATGTCCTATGATCGATCACCCGTGGCTAGTACAAGTAAGTGATATTATGAACATGAATTATGGTTGTTTTCCAAAATGGGAATAATGAATGAACCCTATGGACGGTCTATGAAACGCATATGAATATTGTGTTATGAACCCTGTGGACGGTCTATGAAATGCATAGGAATATTATGTTAGGAACCCTATGAATGGTCTATGAAACGCATAGGTATATTGTGTTAGGAACTCTATGGAAGGTCTATGAAACGCATAGGTATATTGAGTTATGAAACCCTATGGACGGTCTATGAAACGCATAGGTATATTGTGTTAGGAACCCTATGGACGGTCTATAAAACACATAGGTATATTAAGTTATGAAACCCTATGGACGGTCTATGTAACGCATAGGTATATTGTGTTAGGAACCCTATGGACGGTCTATGAAACGCATAGGTATATTGAGTTATGAAACCCTATGGACGGTCTATGAAACGCATAGGTATATTGAGTTATGAAACTCTATGGACGGTCTATGAAATGCATAGGTATATTGTGTTATGAAATCTTGTGGATAGTCTATAAAACGCATATGTATATTGTGTTATGAAATCCTGTGGACTGTCTATGAAACGCATAGGTATATTATGTTATCAAATCTTGTGGACGGTCTATGAAACGCATAGGTGCATTGTGTATGAGATGTATAGGTGTACAGTATGAATAAACATTATGGACAGTCTATGAAACGCATAATTGTATAATATGATATGTGAACACTAAGTCAAACTAGTTATGTTATGTTTGAATTACTATTTCCACTTCAGACTATGAAACATGTGTGTGATATTTGAGACTTAAAAAGGGAAGTAACTAATGGTAAAAAATTGGTATTCCATACATGATTACTTTATTGTTTGATTAACGAAAATATGTATTATCCTTATTCATGGATGAGTTTGGGTAGAAGGAAATCTAATAGGTTTGCTCAGCCGGGTTCACTCGGTTAAGCACCGGTGGCACTCCCCGAGTTTGGGGCGTGACATCCACCAAAGACCATTGTCAAACAGATTGAAATGTATATTGCCAATTTCTTTTGGGGGGAAATGAAGGAAAGAATAACTATCATTGGTGCTCATGGAAAAATATGAGCCTACCTTCTGATGAAGGAGGATTTGGATTCAGGAGATTACAAGACATATGCAGCTCTTTTGCGGCCAAAAGATGGTGGAGATTCAGGGTGAAAAATAACCTATGGACCAAGTTTCTCCTAGCAGAATACTACCATAGATCCAATCCTATGTCCAAACTACCCAACCCCAAAGACTCCAGCTCATGGAGAAATCTTCTTGAAACCAGGGATAGGGTGAAAAATCAAATCATGTGGAAAATTAACAAAGGCAACAGACTCTTCTGGTAGACAGATGGACCACTGTAGGAACAACCAAGCAGAGGGCCAATATCACTTACAAAACTGGCAACATTAAGATCTGTGAATTCATCAATAACAACAGCTGGAATTTGAAGAGGCTGTAACATATAATACCATCCCAGCTAGCTATAGAGGTCTCACGGGTCAAAATAGGAAATCCAAGTTGCAATGATAAAGTTATTTGGACTCTTAATCCATAAGGAGTTTTCTCTTGCTCTACTGCTTATGAACTAACAAGGCAAAAAGGAAATTTTGAGCCTATCCTTTCTAAAGTATGGAATAAATATCTTCCTTTTAAAATATCATTCACCTCTTGAAGACTCTTAAAAGGAAGGTTACCTCTTTACGATACTATAAAAAACTTTGGTATTAACATTGTTTCTAGATGTTGTTATTGCAGGATACCAGAAGAAGAATCCATAGCTCATGTCTTTGCAACATGTGGTATAGCCATGAAGGTGTGAAATACTCTATCGAGTCCAATAGGATTCTAGACCACAAGGAGAAGCATCACCAACATCTTACATAGTTGGTGGAACAAACAACCAAAGAATGCAGCTTAGAAACTACTACTACACATCACACCAGTTATTACATGCTGGGAAATCTGGAAATC